AGACCTGGAGGGGAGAAGCCGTCCCTTTTAAAGAGGCAGTGCAGCACAGTGGTGAGGGGGGTAGATTCTGCAGCCTTACTCATAGGTCTGCATCTTGCAAACCGTGGGCCTTTGGTCAGGGGACTTTACCTCCCCGGCTCAGTTGGTTGGGTGTTGCTCCAGGTATGGAAAGGTTGCTGGTTGATTCCTAGTCAGGGCACTTGTTAGGGTTCCTGCTCCAGGTATGGAAAGGTTGCTGGTTGATTTCTAGTCAGGGCACTTGTTAGGGTTTCTGGCTCAATCCCCAGTAGGGGGTTTGCAGGAGGCACCAGATTGGTTTCTCACATCAATGTTTCTCTCCCTCTCCCTTCCTCTCACTCTAAATATCAATAAAAATAATTTTAAAAAATAGTACTTACCTGGAAGAGTTGGCGTTGGGAGGTTAAATAAGTTCATACACAATAGCGGTTAAGCCTGGCGGTGTAGCTGAGTGGATTGAGCGTGGTCCCGTGCACCAAGAGGTCGCCGGTTCAATTCCCAGTGAGGGCACATGCCCAGGTTGAGGCCTCAACCCTTCAGGAGGCATCGGATCGAGGTTTCTCACTCGTAGATGTTTCTATATCTCTCCATCTAAAATCAATAAAAGCATTTTTAAAAAGAAAAGAAAAATAATCATTTTGTTAAAAAAATATAGTGGTTATTTTTCAAACATTCTGCACCAGAAAGTGGAAGAGGAAGGACAGGTAAAAAAAAAAAAATTGGTGGATCTGAACATATCATGAAAAGATATGCTGCTGCATCACTGATGACAGAGATTTTACATCAGGTTTATATTTCGTGACCTTCAGAGATATGCACGAGCTACTACTTTCATCCGTCACTCCTATTATTATTGTGCCGAAACCGGTTTGGCTCAGTGGATAGAGCGTCGGCCTGCAGACTGAAGGGTCCCAGGTTCGATTCCGGTCAGGGGCATGTACCTGGGTTGCGGGCACATCCCCAGTGGGGGGTGTGCAGGAGGCAGCTGATCGATGTTTCTCTCTCATCGATGTTTCTAACTCTCTATCTCTCTCCCTTTCTCTCTGTAAAAAATCAATAAAATATTTTTAAAAAAATAAAATTTATTGTAGAGGAAGAGAGGGAGAGAGAGAGATGGAAACATCAATGATAAGAGAATCATTGATCAGCTCCTCCTGCACGGCCCCTCTGGGGATTGAGCTGGAAACCCGGGCATGTGCCCTGACAGGGAATTGAACTGTGACCTCCTGGTTCATAGGTCGATGCTCACCCACTGAGCCACACTGGCTGGGCTTCAGACATTCTAGAGCCAAAGGGCAGGGATACTAAGCCCAGTGATTGGGGAAGCCCTTTGGCATTCACTCGGCAGATAATTACTGAACACTTCTTAGGTGTCAATCACTGTTCCATAGTAGGGAAATAGAAAGTAAACACACACACACACACACATACACACACACACATTTGCCCTCAGGGAGCTTACTAATAGGTAGTTCATTGATGATAAATGCCATGGAGAAAAATAAAGCAACACAGAAGGGGAGGGAGCGGAAATTGAAATATCTCACAGCCAAGATATTTCAGCTGAAACCTGGAAGGCTTGAGGAGGGAGGGAGTTGTGCCTGTCTCTGTAGAGGAGGAGTATTCTAAGCAGAAGGAAGAGAAGCAGGAAGGTTTTGAGGAAGGGGCATGCTGGGCATATTTAAGGGACAACAGGAGGCCAGAGCAGAGAGAGGTGAGGGAAATGAAGGCAGAGGTAGAAGGGGCCAGATCCTAGGACGGGTGGGCAACCTTTTTGTGCGTGCGTGCCAAAACCAGCAAAATCTCTGACTCAGAATTCTTCTGCGTGCCAACCCTAATTTTTTGAGAACAGGTTACGCCTACTTGATATCTCTTAAGGTGCACGTATGTGAAGAACCTTGAAGAAATAATAAAATTCATTCGAGCGACAAAAACACAGTATATGATGATGAAAAATACATTTATTTTTTAATGTATACATGTACACTGATAGTCCGACAGAAAACTTTATGACTCCGTTTGATATTATCAGTGGGACTTTTGCTGCTGCATCACTGATGACAGAGATTTTACATCAGGTTTATATTTCATGACCTTCAGAGATATGCACGAGCTACTACTTTCATCCGTCAGGCTACTCCTATTACGAGACTTAACAAAATTCATCACTGAGAACAAAGATTCACAAGCATATGTGGATGAAACCAAAA